TGACAATTCTCTCCGGCCAATCAGTGATCAGCAGGGTTTACACGTCACATTTTGGTAACAGTACGGCTCGCTTAGAACCTCAGCCGAGGTTAGGGTTGGGAACCCAGTGCGACGCGTGACCAAGCGCTGTGAGCAGCCTTGCGCCGGCGTTCCCCATAAAGGACGTCACAAACCAAATAACAGAAACGCCGCCCTGTCTCTTTAATTACTGAGCACATAATTTCCCATGACGCGCACTCTACAGACGTGCCGCGTCACGTCTTTAACTGCCGAACACATCGTTTTCCACGACTGTACGCGCACTCGCATCTTTGATAACGGTGCACATGGTTTTGTCTGACTGTACATGTACCGGCAACGCGCAGCTCCTGCCGCCACTAAATTACATTATATGTGTTCCATATTGTTATTAATATACATACTGACTTCAACTTGGACCACTAAATAAATAGACTGCTATTGTTATGTAAGTATGAGGGTTAGATTATTTATTGTACAGGTATTTCAAGAGTGATAAAGTGATGGAAAATATTTACCTTACAGCAACACTACATGCAATGAAGGTAAAATAGTGAAAAAATAATAATAGTTAATTTAAATGGAACCGAAATCGGAACTGGGAATCGTTAGGCAAAACTGGAACCGGAATCAGAACCAGAAAATTTCTTACGATACCCAACCCTAGCCGAGGTGGTACTGAAAAAAGTACCAGATACCAGGTAGTGGAAAACCCCCCAAAAGCGAGCCGTGCCGTACCGTCCTGTACCATGCAGTGGAAAAGCGCCATAACAGTTCTGTGACAGATCCCGGCCGGGAAATTTGACTCCTTTGTATAGATCTATTAGGCAGTCATTCCCTCAGCATAGCTCAGTGGGTATTCTGTTCCCCATAGTGTCCATTAGAGGATGCAGCACGAGTTCCCATAAGAAGGGGAACATCTCGGGTTACGTATGTAACCATGGTTCCCTGAGAAGGGGAACGAGACACTGCGTCCTGGTGCCATGCTTTGGGCCTTCCTGCTCAAGTCTCCTTCAGACAAAAAAATTGGATGACCTGTACTACAGATGCCCTTTTATACCAGTGGTCGCACTTTTAGTGATGTCACAGACTGTCGTCGGCCAACTTCATTGTTGCGTTTGAATCAAGGCTTCAGACATCGCTGAGGCATTCCCCATAATGTCCACTAGAGGACACAGTGTCTCGTTCCCCCTCCCTGTGAACCAGGGTTACATACGTAACCAGAGATGTTTTTTGACATCCTTGATGACAAAAAGTTTATTTATTTTTTTATCTATGCATAAAGAAGAGGTAAAGACTATTAGTGTTAATGATAGTATGATATTACGTGATAGATACCCTTCTCGTCCAGCTCTCTCACTATGGCTCTGAAGAACGGTCTCTTCTTTGGGTCATAGTTCATGCACTGTGAGATCAGATCAGCCAGTTTACTGATGCTGGGAGTGACCAGAGTACCGCACACCTCGTAGAATCGCTCTTTCTGTTTATGCACACACAGATGTAAGATTACAACTGTAATAGTCAGAAACAAAGGACAATAATTCCAATAAAAACAACTGCTGCTTTGGTCAAGTATAAATGTAGAGATGCATCAGAAGAGTCATCTAAGAAGAGTCAACCACCTCTAAGAGTTTCTTTTCACGCAGAGGCACCTCGCCATTGTAGCAGATCTCCCACAGCGTGGTCCCAAACCCCCACTTGTCTGCTGCAATGCTCAGTGCTTTGGGGTTTTTAACACACTCCGGGGCGATCCAGGGGATCCTGTCAATACACTCTGAGCACACGAACAATCAGGAGTGTTAGTAATGCAAAATGGATTAAAAATGTAATTTAATAAAGTCAAAATCCATTATACTGATTATTATTTAACCCTTATAATGCATTTGGGTCTGTTTTGATCTGAAAGAGATAAATAAATAAAAAAACATTTCCAGATTTTTTTAAAAATATTTTTTAAGAGATATAATAATTTAGATAAAATGTTACACATATGTATGGAGTACCACTAGGTGTCTACAATACTTTCTGTAAAATGATCTATGAAGTTATATTAGTGTCAAAAAACTTAAAATAAAATATAGTTAACCTTTTCCCCATGTCTCACACACTTTTGGGACTAAACTTTGTTGATTAATATGAATATGTACGGCTATTGACAAACCATTGCAGCATGAAAAATTGCTCACTTTTTTTAAAAATGAAATTTATTTCAAATGAATTTGTGTTTGAAAACATTTTAGAGTACTATTCGTTGTTTTGATGTTGTTTTCTTAGAAATAAATATGTAAGTTTCATAAATGTTTTGAGCAATCATGAGTTATAAATTCAAAGAAATGTATTCAAAGATCAGATTAGAATTATCAGATGTTCTTATGAATTTCATACAATGATTTCTCATGAATATTGAGTAGAATATTGAATAGTTTTAATTTCACTATAGTTTATAGTATTAGTCATAGTCTTTTCATGTGTAAATTGAAATTTGAAGTTTTATAAAATCTCCATTCTTCAGGTCCAAATGGACCTGAAATGCGACAATAGCATACAGATTTTCAATGCATTATGAGGGTTAAATAATTTTACTATTAATTTGTTACTATATTCGATTAAATGTTAAATAGATGTTATTAAATTGTCACTGCACACTTGTATGGTGTAAGGGTTTTCAGAGGCTCTGGATGAATGTGTATGAGCGTGTGTTACCCGCTTGGCTGAGCACAGTGATTGACAGTCCAGGATCACTCAGTTTAATGAAAGGACCACCTTGTCCTTTCAGACCATCCAGCTTCAACAGGACATTTTTAGCACAGACATACCCATGGACAAGCTTCTTATCCTCCTGAAAGAGAGAAAATAAGACAGAGTCCTATTTTTCTGTCTCAAACATCCCATTAGAGATCTGAATCATGTAATTTCTTATTTTCTTTAAGATCTTGATGAGTAAAGCAGGATATAAAAATTATCCCCTGGAAAATGGATAATTTATAGTTGTCACATGTTATTGTTGTGATATATGAATAACATTAATAACTACAGTAAACTTTTTTTTTTTTGTCTAAATCTATTATTCAGTAATTGCAAAAATGCAATTTATACAATGATTTGAATACACTTTTTCTATGATGAACAGGCTTCTGAATTAAAACTTTTTGCTGACCTTTAAGTAAAATATCTAGGTTGTGTAACTGTCCAGTGTCTTTAAAAGGCTAAAATTCCGTTTGGCATAACCTTGCATTATTGTTTCTTTGTCATTAAAAAAAACTAATAATAATAAATAAAATTGTTATTAAAACTGTCACTAAAACTTTACCTGAAAAATATGTTTGACACTTTTTAAAATATTTAAGATGTTAAATATTTGTACACCTTAAATGTTAAACTAAAACTGGAAAAAAAATTAAATAAATAAAAAAATTGATTAATTAAAGCTAAACAGAAATATTCATAAAAAATGAATACAAATGACAAAAATAACACAAAAAATACTAAAACTAAAAATACAACAAAGAACTGAAAATATAAAAATAAAAGCTCATTCAAAATATGAATAAATACTACAATATTATTATTAAATAATACTAAAATAACACTGATTCATTAAAATTCTATGTTCTATAAATATTTAAGATGTTAGCACCTTAAATAGTATTTAATGTGCAAACATCTTGTGAAATGTTACATTTTAATGTATACACGTTTTAAAGTCATAAAATCACTGACCCATAAGTCTTAAATATTTCACAAAATGTAAACAAGGGTGAAACAAAGTCAAGTTCAAACTTAAATATTGTACCAAATAACTGAGGACACTGGAAAGCTGCTCCGCAACTTGGAACTTCCAGGAGGGTGTGAGTTCAGAGCGATGATTTCTCATGAACAGATCCAGAGGGCCGTGCTGAACGAACTCCTCCACCATAATGACTGACAGAACAACAGCAATGAGACATGAGATCATCTGCAATCACAGGTCAACTATTCCTTTAACTTTAATTCCTTTACTTCCTTTACTTTCAAGTACTGTTGCATTTTTATCTGGTGGAGTGGGTACACTTACCGTCCATGCTGTGCATACATATGCCATACATCAAAACCATGTGTTTATGTGATATCTGCTGCATTACACTGACTGTGTCCAGGAAGGCCTAAGAACAGTAGAGCAGGATTTGTGAAAGCAATTACCAGTAGAGTTATTTATGTGTCATAAGATGGGGTGTCACTTACGGAAATGTAATTTCCTGCTGCCAGCATCTTCAGAACCACATCCACAACCTCATGGCCTGACAAACCGTCATCATCCTCATTTCCCAACTTCAGCTTGCCAGCATAGATGTTTGTGCGGGTGCCTTGGCCCAGGTGTTTCTCCTGTTTAATAAATAACAGTTTCAAAACATTGCTTTCCATTTCTAGGCTCCAGATAAATTTTATGTCCATGCAGGAATATCCAACTTTAAACTAGAACACAATAATTGATCTAAGCTGGTTGACCATCTTGGACCTGGTCTAACCAGCTTCAAGTCTGCAAAACATTTTCTTAATCAGTATTTTTGTTCTTTTTAAGTAAAAATATCTAAACATCCTTTAAACCAGATAAACTGAGAGATAGTTCACCCAAAAATGAAAATTACCCCATGCTTTACTCACCCTCAAACCATCCTTTGGTGTATATGACTTTCTTCTTTCAGATGAATATAATCAGAGTTATATTAAAAAATGTCCTGGCTCTTCCAAGCTTTATAATGGCAGTAAACGGTGGTCAAGATTTTGAAGCAAAATAAAGTGCATCCATCCATCATAAAAAGCTAACCGTCATACGCGCGTTCACGAGAGAGTGGCGTTTCAGCGAATAACATAGGACGAAGGTGTAGTGTAAGCTCCGGTGAGAATATGCTAGTCCCGCGAGAACCAAGTTTTGTTTACAGCAAAGGAAAACCAGTCTCCTCTTGGTTTATATCAAAATCCTCCAACATTTTTCTTTGAAGTTGTACTTCTAATTCATGACCGGTGTTTTGTTTTGCTCTCTCCTCTGAGCTTCCACGTTCATCACTTCTCACCGGAGCTTATGCTATGCCTACATCATCCGCTGGAACGCCGTGTGGAGCACTTTTTATGATGGATGGATGCACTTTATTTTGCTTCAAAATCTCAACCACCATTCCCTGCCATTATAAAGCTTGGAAGAGCCAGGATATTTTTTAATAAAAAGTCATATACACCTAGGATGGATTGAGGGTGAGTAAATCATGGGGTAATTTTCATTTTTGGGTGAACTATCCCTTTAATATCTTGTTTTGAAGAATACATTTTACATTAATTTAACATTAATCTCATTAAAATCGGCTAGATTTATGCCTAAAACATTTTCATTGAAAACAGTGAATTATTTTTAAGGAAATCTATCTTGTTATAAAGGTGTTCTGACTTTTTTTGTTGGTCTGGTCCACGGATCTGAACTGACTTGTTTATAATCCCACGTTTCAGATCTTCATATTCGTTTTTTTTTTTTGTCAATTTTTTCTTGAAAGTTAGAATCGTGAGATTTAAATGTAGAATATAATCGCAATTCTGAAAAAAAAAGAACTGCAACTTTTTTCCTCTTAATTTCAAGTTTACATTTTACAATTTAAACTTTTTTTCTCTGAATTCTGTGCTCACGTCACGCAGTTCGCCACCGAATAATTTTCTCCAAATTGTGTTTTTATATCATTTATAGTTTATGTCTCACAATTCTGACCTTTTTTTCTTGCAATTTTCTCGAATCGTAATATATCAACTTCCGTAAAAAATATTATTAAAAAAATATTTGAAAACAGTAGCTGGTTAGACCTGGTCAATGTTCTGTTGCTGATAGTTATTTTTTGTGATACAAGACATCATACAACATAATGGCTGTTTGATCAGCTAATAACCAGCTTACACCAGCTAGAAACCAATGACTTTTAGGTTGGATCACCAGGAAATAGCTTTTCTATTTTTGCTTGTATTCTATTAAACAGATTTGACTTTATTCACATCATGCATATAAGCAAACAGTTTTTAGATGTCCAACCTGGGTAATGTCATTTCTGAGGATCCTAGGGAAGACCAGATTATTGGAGAGAGAGGGTGGCGATGCTGAATCTTTCCTGGTTATCATGACAAGGTTGGATTGCTCTGTGAAGCAGTGAATGGAAGATTATTCATGTTTCTGCCATCTTTTAAGACAAGGATGAATTTAGTACATAATAATCTAACATACAATGGAAATGACAAATAAAACATCTTAACTATAATAACTTTGCATGCCAATTAGTTACTATACTAGTGTTTTCTACAGGATTCAGTTTTCCCTGTTGATCCCTACATACTGTACGCAATCATGCCACTGCATGCTTTTTAGAATAAATATAAAAATCTAGTACAGTTTGAAACTAGAATTCAATTATTTCATTAAGAAGGCACAGTTTATAAACCGCTAGCTATCTATATTTGAAATACCACTATGGGTGGGAAGCTCCAGTACCTTTGGGTTGGGGTGGACAGCCACGCTCAAGTCTTAAGCTGATGTGGTCTGTTGTGAGACACTGGCCACACAGGTGGTCCGTCAGCTCTCTCAGAGTGGGCTTCACAATATCTGTCCCAGTCAAGAGGAAGCCCTGTGCACTCGCCTCAATCTGGAAATTCTTGAAGGTTTTGCTGATGCTGCCATGACAATCCCTCTAGAATAAAAAGATTTAGTTATATATTTAGCTATATCTTAATTACACAAACATATTTTCATAAACCGTCTGTTCCTTTTGACATACAGAACTTTTACCAAGCTCTCTGTCCATCAGCAGCATATACAGTAATAAAGCATGTACCTCATTGCATATGACAGTCAGGAGAACATGATCAAAGTCATGAGTGCTCCAGCGCAGCAGGTACATGCCCTCCTCGTAACCTTCCTGCTTGAGTTTATGGGTGGCATATTCAGTACTGAGGGGTACAAAAGAAATACAGTTACATCAGCTGTCCAAAGACATTCTTCTCTGTCATTTGATGATTGTATATTAGATAGTTTTAGATGCTGAAAAACATGCTGAACAAATGAATTAGGGCTATAGAATGTTACAGATGAATTAAGAGATGAATTAAAGTTGAATTATTACACCACTGAAGAGTTTTTGAAAGACGTCTTTTATGCTCACCAAGGCTGCATTTATACAGTAAATACAGTAATATTGTGAAATATTATTACAGTTTAAAATAATTGTTTTCTATTTTAATATTTTTTTAAAGTAATTTATTCCTGTGATGTAAAGCTGAATTTGCTGCTCAATAAACATTTCTGATTATTATCAATGTTCAAAACAGTTGTGCTGCTTAATATTTTCGTGGAAACCATGATACATATTTTTTTCAGGATTATTTGATGAATAGAAAGTTCAAAAACAGCATTTATTTGAAATAGAAACCTTTGTTAACATTATAAATGACTTTCCTGTCACTTAAAAGCATTTCGTTAAAGAAAATTCTAAACTTTTACTGACCCTAAACCTTTGAACAGTAGTGTATAAATAATATATATAGCATACTCAAAATTCGATATGAGCTCATTTTCATTTCTGGATGAACTATTCATTTAAGCATGATGAGTGCATGTACTTACCTGATTGGACCATGGCAGCCCTCTCGTAGATTCTTTTCCAATGAGACGGGAGCCACATCCCTGCAGAGGAAATGATGCGCATCTACTGTGAGCCTAAAGTATCCATCTACAAGACTGGCAAAGGACAGTGCCTCCTCATGGGATGCCAGCTTCAGCTCCTGAAGAAGATCACAAAAATAAAACAGGGTTTATGAAGTTCTGATTTTCCATGAATGAACCAAAATCGATCACAAATCTCACAGTGAGCCTCACCATGTTTTTGTTGTCCTGTTTGTGGATAGTAACCATGGAGTATTTGATGAGAAGATGCGTTATCCCATTAAAGTCTGAAAAGAGTGCCCATCTGTCCTCTCCTGCATCATGTGATACTGCTTTACTCAGTTTCTTACTGTTTCTCTTTGATTTTCGGCTCTCCTGATTGGTCCACGGATCTGAACTGGCCTTAAAAAATAAATACATGACATTTAAAAAAACTGTAGATTAGAAACCAATAGAAATATTGGAAGAAAAAAACAACAACAACAAAAACTCTAAACTGATGTGTGAAACTTGTACATTACCATTCAGAAGTTTGGGGTCAAGTTTGTTTGTTTGTTTTTAATCATTTTATACAATTTTATACACCTGAAGCGAATGTGTGATGAAGCCGCCGCCCCTCGCGCCCCGGACCAGAGAGGGGAGCATGTGCAGCCGCCAGACTCTGCCCCTACCTGGACCCCTCCTTCACAATACCCCAGCACAATGAGGACACCAGATACCCCGTTTATTTTGAACACTTCTTCCCCTTTGGACTGTTTATTCCCCGTTTTGGACATTTTGTTTATTTTCTGTTAAATAAAAGCCTCTCAGAGGCCTGACGCCACACCCACTGTGTCTGTCGTCTGTCTTCTACCCGTACCGAAACGGTTCGGTACGAATACGTGTACCGTTACACCCCTAATATATATATATATATATAATAGAAAACTTCATTTAAATCTTGCACACAATATTACTGTTTTTACTGTGTTTTTGATCAAATAAATGCAGCCTTGGTGAACATAAGAGATTTATTTCAAAAACAGCAAAAGATCTTACTGACCCCAAACTTTTGAACGGCAGTGTAACTCATCCCACACTGTTTGTACTATGGGTATTATTTGCACTACAGCCTTCTCACCTCCGAGGGGACTTTACACCAATGAATGCCAGAGGTGCCAGACACCAGGATCTTGTAATGAACACCAGCTACACTGCAGGAGTCTGTGATCACTTGCTCATTCTCATGTATGATGAGGGAGGAGGGTTCAAACATCTCCTGGCCAAAGTGTTTCGTTAGAGTTTCTAAAGTGGACATATATTTGACCTTCAGGTCATGGGTATTGATCTCGTTGCCTTGCACAGTGTTCTTGGTGAATTCCTCAAGGAACACTTTAAAGACGTTGGAGATGCGCAGACGTGTGAGAACGTTCCTGTGACGTATGGACTTGTACAGGACCTTGGGGATGTAATTCTTGTACCTGACGAAGATAAAGTGAAACAGTGAAAATTACAGGGACTTTAATAGTTATATAATTACTCAATATTGGTGGATTTGTTTCTCAGATCACACTGGGGTGAAATCTGAGTTGACTGAAGGCAAAAATTCAACCTTACTGTAAACTCCATCTCAGTGACAAGGCACCAATAATGAATTATTATGTAAAACTTGATCAGAAATCAAAATCATTCTATCATTAGGATACACATTTACAACAATACTGACCAAATACTACATGGACTTTAATGAGTCTACATGGTCATGTATATAACAATAAGGGCTGTTAAAGGTGACTTTTCCAGGTTTTAAGTGCTATAATCAGGTCCCCAGTGCATCTACCAACCAAGGAAACGTGAAAAAGATTAACCCAGTAACTTTGTTTTGGTAAGACTTTTTCTGCAAGCGTCTGAGAAAACGATTGAATCTGATTTCGCTCCCTTGGTGACGTGGCAAAGGGATCTCATTATAATATTACCGCCCCTTAATCTGTAAATTTACACCCATGGTGCCGTCATTTTGATTTCGCAAGCGACATTGGTGTATTAGTTCTAATGCCATGGCGAAAGTTTGAGCAAAACATACTAACCGTTCTGTCTTTGGCTGCACAAACGAGTACAGAACACTATTTAGAGTCCCATTCTGATAATCAGAATCAAAACAGATGTTTTTAGCAGGTACCAGCTGTAATGGCGCAGCTCTATTCTGGAAAAGGGGGCGGGGAGCAGCAGCTCATTTGCATTTAAAGAGACAGGCCCGAAAAACAGCGTGTTTCTGCTTCCACTCAAAATAGGCATTTTCAAAATGATATAATAAATGATCTGTGGAGTATTTTGAGATGAAATTTCACAGACACATTCTGGGGACACCAGAGACTTATATTACATATTGTAAAAAGGGGCATAATATGTCTCCTTTAATATAATTTGTTTTGTTTTGAAAATCTAAAAATGCAGAACGTTTTCTGTGATGGGTAGGTTTAGGTGTAGGGTTAGGGTAAGCACATACCAATGTGTGAGTGAGTGTGTGTGTGTGTGTGTGTGTGTGTATGTGGTTGTTCTCTATTGGCAGCAGCCTGAGAATCAAAACTAAAATGACATAAAAATAAATACATTAAATATGAAGAAAAAAATAATAAAATAAAAATTATATATATATTTATATATATAAAAAAATCTTGCTGATTTTTATATATATATAGTCTCAGTCAGTAAAAACTAAAAAAGTGCCATAAAATACAATGCAAATAAAATAAAAAATGATCTTACTCAAATTCACAGAGAGGACGTTTTTTTTCAATGGCATCATGGGAGATGGCCATCACCGCCATACCCAAACACTCATTTTCTATCTGCTGGACGTCATTCTCATCACATGCACTACGCAGCGGTGCCAGACCGCTCTTAAAGTCACACTGACTCTGCAAAACACAAAAACACACAACAAAATCAGCAGCCACAACTTTCTTGAACAGCATGTCCTTTAAAAGCAGGGCAATGTTTTTGTCACCGTACCTGTGCGTAGAGGTACGTTAGTGAAGCTACATCCAGAAGAGCTGTGCCCGCAGACCCCGTTTCTCGCTTGAGAGTGTGTCTGAACACTGGAAGAGATTTCCTACTGCTCCCATGCCAGTTTGTGAAATAGAATCTGCCCCACGAATGAGATTATAACATAAATATGTAACATCTTTTAAAGGGGTCATATGATGTTGCTAAAAAGAACATTATTTTGTGTATTTGGTGTAATGAAATGTGTTTATGCGGTTTAAGGTTCAAAAAACACATTATTTTCCACATACTGTACATTATTGTTTC